TAGTAGCATGCTCCGGCGCTCGTCGCAAATTATGGGTCGCAGCGTGGCCGGTGTCGTTGGCTCATACTTGCCGCAAACGGTGACAGAGATGTGGGAGCCCCTCAGAGACTTTGCGTACATCAAGATTCCAAAGTCTTCCAATTCGCCGACGGGCCCAGCTCGTGGGAACAACAACTCGAGCGGTTCGCAGCCGCTGACCGGCCCGCTTCGAAGTGTCGTGGCCATGAGCAGCAGCAGTCCTCAGGTAATGGTAGTCACCAGTGACGGCGGCTTCTATGTGTACAACATTGACATGGAGCATGGCGGAGAGGGCTACCTGGTTAAACAATTCTCGTAAGTTATTACACCGTTGACTCATCATCGTTGTATGTTCCTGGTCCACAATACTAAGTTAATGTCTTTGGCAGGGTCATTGATGGCGACGACAAGTTGGACGCGTCTTCGTACGGCACGTAAAGCAATCTTTGCGTGCCTCATAGAGCGAGACAGTAAATGGCGATCGGGACTTGTTGGAGCGGAAGATGGGGGCCGATTCTGCATTAGGAGGCGTACGGACGACTTTCTCTATCTATCTTCTTCTACCTCTGTTTACCTTGGTCTGTACCTAAAGGAGGCGGTATGGTCCATGGGGAGGGAGGCTACAGCACCTTGCATGCTTGACCTAGGTAATATGGAGCAACTTGCTTGCCCAGTGGCTGGCTGCTACGAAAGAGAGCGCATTTATTCGCTCGAGTGCCCATCGCATATTTAAACGAATGGCGTCCACGAGCCCCGCGAACTCGCCTGTGATTTAATACACAGGATCGCGTCAGATCATATACCAAACCGAAACTTCCTCATCATACAAACAATCAAATAATTTGAAGCTAAGTCGGAACGGGAGCTATTTTGCCCAATGTATTGCAACCAACTAGCTTCAGAACCCTACGCACAATTAAGGGGAAGTAAATGGCACTGAAAGGTGTGCTTTGTTGCTTGCTGTCCCCGCTCGATCCCTCCAGCAAGATTCCGTCACCGTCACTGATCGCAGGTACCCGATGATTTGACGGTCAAATATCCTTTCAATATTATCAAAAGATTGTATAGACAGAGGCTGTGAGGAGACCCCCACCACTCCCACCACTACTGCCCTAGAAACAGACATAGTAGTAAACACCAGGCTAGCCGAGCTACAGCTGTCGAAATCATGCGCCGAACTGTCCATCCCAAAGTACCCGAAGAATCAAATCTCCCCCACAGGAGATAATACCATAGCGCCGTTCCATCAGTCATGTATCCGCACAATCATTCCACATGAAGTTTTACCATTGAGGATACAACCTGAACTAGACAGTTACCGACCGGGCCTCGGACCCGGCTGATCAGCCTTCCCTGATGTATCCAACACTGGTATAAATATAATATTAAAGAACGTCCGACGATCCACGTGGGCGAATAAACGAGAGATATGGTCTCGGAGTTGACGCAAGGTAGAAGAATACGCGTCACGCAGCCGAGTTGAGAAAGTAGCCGACTTTACCTCGCGTAAGGACGATTCATCAGGGCAATCTCTCTGGCGATTTCACCCCACTCGAGTTCCCGCTTCACCGTGGACGAGCCCTTTTTCTTCAATTGATTGAGCTCTTCCCATTTGAGAAGCTCGTAGGCGAAACGGAGGTGTGGTTGAATGATGACATTGAGCCTGCGGGCTCGGACGAAGCAATATGCTCGAGGAAATGACAGTCCCAACGACCGCATTACTTCTGCGATGCAAATGGTTGCACTACGCGATACTCCGACACGGCAATGTACCAGTGTGGCTGTTCCGTTGCGCCGGCCACGTTCTGAGGTAAAACGAGTAAGCACTGTTCCGACGTTCAACATTTGAAGTATTGCCGACTTACCAATAAAATCAAGGCATCTCTCAAATTCATCCGTCAAAGGATCAATTCCGTTATCCTGCACTCCCTGTACAATGCAGACGTTTTCTGGACCCCATTGCTCTAGCTCGCCTTCCCTCCACATCGAAGTCTCGCCAACACTGAGGATTTGAGTTATCCCCATGGCCCTCAAAAGGTCAGGATTATTCGCATGACATAGGTTGCCGAGGTACATGTATTCGAGAACTCTGCTAGGCAATGATCCATCGAGGCCGGGAAGCCACGCTGGTTCCTTTATTATTGACGTGATCTCGCCGAGGCCCTTACCCGAGTGAACAGGCGACTCATGCAGCAATCGGGCCTCGATGCACGTCAGAAGAGCAACATCAGTAGGATAGGCGAAGAAATTCCGCTTCTTGATGGTGTGCAAGTCCAGCCATGCATCGGCAATGCCTCTGCCAGTGCTGTAGCTGAAGTATGCGATTCCAAGCATGGTGGACTCGGTGTATCCGTCGGCACAGTGGATGAGAATCTTTCTCTCTCTCCTATTAATAGGCGGCACGGTCTGCCCGTTCATGTCGATGTCGCCGTCCCCATCGATATCGGTGCTGTTCGTGGCTGGGAGCGTGCCATGGGCCAAGTGATAAATCCATTTGCAGGTTTCCAAAATGCCATCGGCTTCAGCTTGTGACCAGGTGGGTGGTAGAATGCTTCCAGAGGAGGGGAAGTCAATATAGGGCCTCTGAGCAGGTTCGACCCGAGACTCGGCCAACTTCCGCAGCGCTGAAGGGTTAAGCCGACCAACATCACTACATTCGATCAAGACATCGAACTGTTCGTCTTCTCCTGAGGAAGGCTCTGGTGTTGGGCCGAGCCAAACGTTGTGGGAGGTTTCTGATGCTCTGGTCATGTCATACATCTCCTTCCGCTCTTGGTGGAAAAAGTCGAGGACATTGCCAGTCAGCTGGCCCCGCGCGTCGACAGCAACAATCTCTTTATGGTTGGTTTCAAAATTGTTAAAAGGCGAATAACACATGAACGTGTTGTATTCGGGAACAGAGTGACCCTGAGCTTCGTGCCTCTGTCGCCATCGAAGCTGTGCCGTCGCAATATCGAGGCTCACTTTGCGAACGGCCGTTTCATCCTCGCCGTAAACAATGATGTCTGAAACCATGGCGGCTTTGGCAGATTGAATCTGGAAATTTCTCACACAAAAGCCATCGCGGGGGTCGACATCGAGGAACTCGGGGACGGCGGCGGCCAAGTTGATGAGTTCTTGAGGAGCTATAGCACCTTTGAGACGGGCGACGCTCAGATCACCGTCCGCTTTGACGAGTGTAACCCCCCGAACACACGTAGGTGTTTTACGGAGTGAACGATGGCGGGCAATAAAGAATGCTTGCTGGATATGGTTATGGGGATGAAGACCATGGAACCATGGGAAGACTTGATTCGGATCCGGCAAGGGCTGGCGGGAGATGTAGTCGACAGCAGCGGCCACATCAGTGTGGCTGACGGTATAAACGGTGGCCAGGCCCGACTCGAATTTAGAGAACTTGTCGGGGGGAAACAGCAATGAAGTCTGCTGGATCAAATCGTCGTCGCGAGGAGGTGATGGAGGAGGAGTATTGGGTTCTTCGGCGGGAACAGGACCAGGGGGACAAACTGGAAGATGCTTGTTCGGTACGGGCACTTGAGAAGTGCCAATGGACTCGAGCGATATGGTTGGGACGGGTCCCACCGTCGACGTTGGGCGATGCGGGGCAATGGGTCTCGGGAGGGCGATTGTCGCCATACTGAAGTATGTATGCCGTTTACTATGTTCCTGTTTCCTTCACTTTGTTGCCTTGAGCCAACAGTTGATCGCAATCGACGCTGTGTGCCGGCTTTCTGCGAATAGCTGGGGCTGGGTTGGAAAGACGGTGCTACTGCAACCGAGGCCTAAACCCACAGGTAGAACGGGGTGCGTCTCTTGTGCCGAGTTGGTGATAGCTGTAATCCGGCCAAGCTATGTTAGACGTCGAGTTAACAACAGATACAACAGAGAAGTGATGGAGGAGGCCGTCGGATGCTCATTCGATGATCAGGGGAGAGAAATACACTCGACTTGACCGTCTGATTGATCTGAGTCCGAGATATGTTGGAAGGAAGAAGGAAGAAGAGCGTTTGTCACTGCAACAGGTTGGGGTACTAATTAGACGGGCGTGGGAACACGGGGGCAGGACAAGGGGATAGGCAGGGTGGGGAGATCAGAAAGAGAGGGCCAGGAAGGGGGCGCCCGGGGAGGGAGACAGGAGGGAGAGATAATAGCTGGACGCAGAAGGCACTCGAACTAACCGTAAATCGGCTGGGCTTTGGATCGACTGGCTGGGGTGATGGGCGATCCTTATCGTGCGTGCCCCAAAAGCAACCAAACAGCAGGGTAGCTTCCAGTTCGGCTCAGGTAGAGTGTGGTAGTGTAGGTGCGTTCCGGTAGTAGCGAGAATGCAGTAGCGCCAGTTCGTGATAAGCTGGGGCGGCAGTGTCTCTAGTCTTTCTTTCAAGCTGTCTCTGATGGCCTGTTTATGGATGATACAATCGGATCTTTGAACATGAGGAGAGTGAGTGTAGTGGGAATTGAGCGTCGAGACCGACTTCGAAGCTACTAGTACGAGGACGGGGAAGAACAATCTTTAAGTGAGGCGGAGAAGGATTATTCTGATGGTGGCAGGAGGTGGGCAGGCGGCATCCTGTCAGAGGAGAGGGTGTCGGATGATGGGGGAAAGAAGAGAAAAGGAGCGAACACGCAGGGGAGCGAGGAAGCCGTGGAATAGACTGAAGTAATGAAGGTTTTAGTTGTGTGTGCTAAGCTGCTTGAAAGGAGTGGTGACACGTCAGGTACAGTGCCGGCGTCACGATGGTGAGGAGCGACCTGGCGTGAGGTACCTTTCCTGTCCATACGTATTACTGGCACATTCAGGGAAGGTAAGGTAAGCTACCTTGAGGTGGTATAGGTATCAAGTGTCGACGAGATGGGCAGACAGCTCTCTCCAACATGCGAGACCAAGCCCACGCCCGCGCCCGCGCCCCCAACTCCCAAGCCATTTCACCTGGTATCTCATCTTGTCCAATCAAGGAGCCTGGATAATGTGGAGTTTCCATGGATAGAGGAGGGGGAGGGGGGTTGGAGAGGGACATGGGGGGAAAGGGATCAGTGCCAATGGTGGGCAGCGTTTACTTGGCTTGAAGCACGGCCGCAGAAGGGCTTCAGCAATGCAAGTTAGCGCTAATACTGTGCAGTCACGATAGTGTACCTACCCGATACCTCTTCTTACCGATACCTGTGGCAGATATGCCCAAAAATTTCTGGTGACCGCCACGTTGGGATTGTTTACTCTCTTTGAATGCTGGCGAGATACGTGGATTGCTCATCTTCATGTTGTTCGTTATTTCTTTCACTGCTGGCGGCTATCAAAGAAGGGACCAACCAACCTGGCAATGGTTTGTTTGGTATTCGCATTAAGAGAACCGGGCAAGGTCTAGCGAGGCGCGGTGTTGGACCCCAGGTTTCTTTTACCCCTCACCTTCAAAGGTATTGGGTCCAACCAAACCGTGCTAAGGTAGTGTAGCCGTAGACATGTATTTTGTCGATCTGGTCTAGGCCTCCGAGTCGTCCAGTTCCCAATTGAATGAGGCCGACGGTCATTCTCCTAGGCAACAGAAAAACACAGAGATTCCCATCATATCCGTCAGGAAAGAATGACGACGGGAGGCTCGGGGTCGAATGCAGTCGGGATCATCGGTTGTAGTGACAATTGGACGCATCGTCTGGTGCTCGGTCAACGTATCCACGTGATCAATTATCAGTATCGCGATCCCAGACAGCACTACGCACGAAATAACGGCACCATCTCAATTACACATTTGTACAAAAGGGGATACTGTTCGTAAGGAGGCAGTCACGTAGGGTGAGAGGTGCACTGGTAGTGTAAAGTGGTGAACCAACGTTGAAAGGGTCGAGAGAGGAAGACATGGTCCCGGGGGCCCCTTGGTTGGACCCAGGAAATCGGGGGTGGGGACGGGAGTGGGCCATGGTCCATGCTGCGCTCGACGGGCGGGGGTGTCACATTTCAAGTGGAGAAGGTGCAAGGCGCTACTGCACGGCTGCTGCATCCAGTGGCATCCATGTGGTCGTAGCGCCAGTCTCAGCCATTGAGAATGAACGGATTGAGTGCCACCACTGCACCGCTGTACCGCACCCGCCATACATCAAACAGACACGGTGAGACTCTGAGCATGCCATCGAGAACCACGATGAGATGACTCGATTGCCTTTCCTTGTCCCTCTCTCCTTTGGCCCTACCTGTGTGCCATGAATTAATTTGCCATCATGAGCATCGAATAGCCTGGATCTCTCACGGCGCGCATCAAGATACGATGTGCCTAGTGAAGGAGCCAATTCCTTGAAGCAGATGCTTACTGACGTACCTTACCTAAGGTAACGTACCTGAGATATCAGATAACGTGAGTGAGTGACCACACCCCGCTATATCAAACGGCCATGAAATTGGGAGTCGGAACTGCTGCGAGTGGCCACAGTTCTAGCGGGGTTACACACTAGTGTAGAGTTCGCCGGCATGAGATCGTTTGTATTTAGCGACATCCCTGCCTGTCTGCCCTTCTTGAAACATGTTGAGTGGCAACAAGACACTTGAGTATCTGCACCAGTGTCTTCTGGTGCTGCAACAAAGCCACTCAAAACCAATGCTCTTAATTAGAGACGGAATGAGAAGGAGATCTCGTGCTCAGGGAAACTTCTACCGACATCTTGAGCTACGTGACTACCTACCGAACCCTCCATGTGCCAGCCAGCCTGTCCAACTCTAAGGTCGTCTCATTCCGTCTCCACTGACCGGCTTATCCGCGGGGCTGGGGCCATACCCATTCCAGCCGGTTGCATTCGACCATTTCGTGCGTCTCCAATTATTTCTAAAAATCATCAAGTGCTAGCTCTACCCTGCGAATTCCTACTGATATCTAAGCCTCGTATTCTCCAGGTGGTCATGTACTGATAGTCTGTCACAACCGCCAGAGGCCCAATACCAGCATCTTAAAATACCTAGCTGAAGCTGAACGTCAGACGTAAGGGTCAAGCTAGCTGCGATGAGATGGATGAAACGAGGCAGAACATCTCCTTGACTGCTGGCTCCTGGAACGAATGCATGTCCAAGGCACTGGTATACATAATACTAGATGTTTCCGGCAGACCCTAGGTTCATCACGAGAGAGGCTTCACATAATGCCTCAGTGTTTTTTTTTTTTGCCCATTCATTGCATTATTACATTTATCATTGAGTGCCGACAACGCACCTGTCTATCCATAGATCTTAACATGGGGACAATATCCAGCGCCAATCTGCCATCTTGCTACCCCATACAGGACTTAGAACTGCCTTCCACATAGATAGGAAGAACGCACGACTTCTACCTGGATGCCCCCCAGAATTTGTAGATGGCAAGCAGCGGCCGTTCAACATTCCAAAACCCTATAAAAAAAAACACCTAGACAAGGTCCAGTCAATGTGCAGGGTAGGTTCAGTCAGCACTCGCAAAGAACATTGTCACTGTAGCGTCTATCGTAAAAGCTCTGGTAAGCAGTGTCCACAGCGAGATCGAAAGCTCACCGGCGCAATCATCCAACTTCTAAAGATCAAGTAGGGCAGCTCTAGGTACTACCGTCCCAGAGGCACTGATTTTAGAGCACCCGCCGCGGGGGTGGGACGGAAGTCCCCACTAGGGACTTGAGATTATTACCCACGATCAATCCGCCAATGCCTCATGTGGCTGGTGTCGCTGGAGCTTAATTGAGTTGCTGATATGCTGAAGTACCTTAGGTAGGTAGCGACGCGCCGAGGTAGCATTACCTAAGGCAGTCTAAGACAAGAAGCATCGACCATCTTACGTCATTGAGATGCACGACAACAAAACACTTGCGGAATGAAGCACATGCTTTCTCGCCTTACCTAAGGTACGGTAAGGCGGAAGGTAAGTCAAATCTGAGGCAGCAGTGACCACGTTCAGAGCATTACGCACCACTCCCGCCGGTTCCTGAGCTAATAACCTCAAGTCGTCTGGGACCTACATTGAAACCTACACCATACGGACACTGAGGCGCGTAAGCGAAGCGGTGACTCCCGTCCAGTCCTAGAGCTTCATCGACAGCATTTCTACTTCCAACCCAAGCTATAGGCTTAGGGCGGAGGCTAAGCCTACCTTACCCAGCGGCTCTCTTACGTCCTTCCAGGTCCCTGACCTTGGAGCCCTGGTAAGCCTTCTACTGCATCGCGTCCGTGGTTGCGGCATTCTCTGTACGATCCCGCCTGAAAGATAACTAACTTGTTTTCTTTGCGACCCAAAGCCTACCTCTTCCAAACGAAACGCATCGTCCTTGTTTATCGCGACATCCACAGATCACTGCTCCAGCCATGCCCAAGCCCACGTCGCTTCGCAGGCTCACCGACAGCCACCCGTGATAGTTGACCACGCGTTTGACCGCGACGCCCAACCTTCCTCACTTGTCTCCGATATCCGTGTGGTTTCCCCGTTCACTGGCCCTTGTAACGCATCCAGATACTTATCAATACCGAACTTGACGACTTCAGCACAGTAAGCCTGATTTTGAACGATAACAACGGAACATAATGGCCTCTTCAGAACAGAGCCATACCTACGGCCTCAAGTGCCGCCTTGCTCCGGTGTCCCAGCCGTTGACTGGGAACGCCGACGATGGCATCCCTGCGGTTGCTGCACAGTTCTTCTATTCTTCAATTTTACCCATAGACGATCCTCTATCTCCGGGAACAATCGCTGGTGTATCAGATGCTCGAACCGCTCGTGGCCCGATTCGTCCATTCTCGCTCGGTGACAACAACGCCCTCGAGAAGGCATGGCTCAGCTTCCTGTCTGACGACGATATACAAGCTCATGAGCAGTTGGTTCGAGACAAAAAACTGAGTCCTAATACCGAGAAAGCCAACGCGCATAAACTGGGCCTCTTAGCGCGCCACCTGGCTGTCAAGCACCTCCAGAAGCATGGTGGTATCATTCAAACATCGACCACGGCCGGCGAAGCTTCGGACCTGCTTCCGGACACCCCGATATCTACATGTTGCCCTGAGTTATTCATCGATGTCTCTACTGAGCTGCAGAATACCTATTGTGCCCTGGCCAGGAAACACCACCCTTCGCTTGGCCAGGATAGAGTCGTGCAGGAAGTCATGATGGAGCTCCGGGGCCTCGTAGCATCGAGCGAGACGCGTTCCCAATTCCGGAGCGTCTCTTCTTCCCGGCCCCGAGCGGACTCGGCGCGTTCACGGCAAATGGAAATTGTCAGTTCATTCAGTCCTCGACAAGAAGCTGCGAGCGAATTGCAGAGGATCGGAAGAGAGGTTGGCAATACGGGAGTGGAGTCTGCGTCGAGGGCTAGATCCGATTCCCGAACAAGCGAGAAAACATCTCGGCCCTCTACGCCGGGTTTGGGCACTTCGTTCCGGCAGCATGCTGCGGACGATGGTATCTCTGGCAAACCGTTTGTCCGTGCTGGACTCCGGCAGCGACCCCAAGATGTGCTGGCGACATCCTTTCCTCCTTCGGAGCAGTCGAAATCGAATGATACCGAAAATCAAGATGCAAGGCGGTCGTTCACTATGCCAGAGTCGCTTAGAGCCCGGGCGAACACCACACAAGCCAAGATTGTTAGCGATGAAAGCTACAGAAGGGAAGCTGTTGACGTTGTTGTCGGTATCTCCCGGTTGCATATGGTGTCCATCCCGGCCCTTCAAATGAAGCCCATTTACTGGTCCCCTGTGAACGACATTGCGATGGTCCTACGTGCTACCTGGTTCTACAGGTTCGTTGTCTTAACTTCCTAAATGTGTTCGAGTGTCTGACAGAGAGACAGAGATACGATGCTACCAATACCCCCGGCTGTGGCAAATCAACTGGAGGCTGGCTACCGAGAGCTCAAGCCTCACACTGAGACTTGGAACGATGAGCTCCGTTGCGCCGTTGACGTAGGGCCTCTTGGCGAGGAGAAGGTCTCCTATCGACTATGGCCAGAGAACGCCAACCAACCTAGCGACGGAGACAAAGAGTCAGTTTTGGACACTCGTATCTCATCAGATCCGTTCTGTGCCGCAAGCTGCTTTCGTGGGGAAGCGGCCGCAGAGGGTGCAATCGACCCGAATCTGAAGACTGCCTCAGCTACGCAACAGCATCGAAGTTACGCAACTTACCACGTGATCTATAAAGATGCCTCCAAGGCCTTCCTCCTCAAACCTAGCCTCAAGCCGTCTGCCTACTACGGCAGGAGACCTGTTGCAAAGATTATGAAGGGAATGACCGTCGGCATTCCGGTTGTACGTGGCTTCGATCGCGCGGTCTGGGAGCGTACACATGATAAGAACAGGCCCCGAGAAGCTCCTAATCAACCAGCTTCCTCCTCCAGTAACACGCCCGAATCAATCGGACAAGACGTTTGCGCGGCCTGCAAGGCCGAAAAACAGCGCGGCCAAGTTACCGACCTTGTGTTGGTGGTCCATGGAATCGGTCAAAAGTTTGCGGAGCGAGTCGAAAGCTTCCACTTCACCCACGCTATCAATGCTTTCCGCCGTGACGTTAACACGGAGCTGGCGAATCCAGTTGTCAAGGGGGTGTTGAGAGATGGCCAGAATGGCATTATGGTGCTCCCCATCAACTGGCGTCATACACTCTCGTTCGAGGAAGGCGGTCCAATGACAGAGGAAGACAAAGCACAAGACGTGCCAGACGGGTTCAGCCTCAAAGACATCGAGCCCGGCAGTATTCCCGCAGTGAGGAGCATGATATCAGATGTCATGTTCGACATACCGTTCTATCTATCCCACCACAAGGGCAAGATGATCAATGCGCTGGTGACGGAGGCTAATCGTGTATATCGCCTTTGGTGCCGCAACAACCCCGGATTCGCAGACAGAGGTCGCACTCACCTTATCGGGCATTCTCTAGGCAGCGCCATGGCTATTGAAATTCTATCTCGGCAACCCGCACGTGTTCCGGCACTAGACCTCTCAGTGAGAACGCCGAAGCCTGACTTCTTTGAATTCGACACGAACAACTTGTTTTTGGTTGGAAGCCCCGCTGGTTTCTTTTTGCTCTTGGAGCGAGGTATGCTTCAACCTCGGCGCGGTAGAGTAAAGCCTGGAGCTGATCCCGCCGACATAAACGCACCAGAGGTAACGGGCGAGGCTGGTCGCTACGGTTGCATCGCCGTGGACAACATCTACAATGTGTTGGCTAAGGAGGATCCCATCGCGTACCTTCTGAATGGTACCATCGATCCAGTGTATGCAACCAGTTTGAGAACGGCACATGTCCCATCAAGCGCCACCTCCCTTTTCAGATACGTTGGCAATGCAATGAAAAGTCTTGTACCTGGCGCAGCACCTACGCCAGCCACGATTGCCCCTCCTCCGGCCCCAAAGCCGAACTTTGCGCGCTTGCCTTCGCAGCTCGAGCTCGAGGTTCATGACTTCACGCGAGAGGAGATTGCAGAGCGAAAGGCCTATCTACTCAATGACAATGGCCAGATTGACTACTACCTCAGGTTCGGCGGTGGGCCATTAGAGATCCAGTATCTCAACATGCTGAGCGCGCACACGTGCTACTGGACGAGTCAGGACTTCATTCGCATGCTGTGTATGGAAGTCGGCAGGAAACCTGGCAGGGAGCATACGATCCCTGCCATGAGAGCTCAGAAGGCGGCCAAAAGGCCGCTTGGGTGAAGTGTCACTCAAAGACATCCCACACCACCATTCTTAGGTGGCCATACACACTTAGATCACGATAATTAATTGCGCTTGGTGAGATAGACAGCCCTGAATTTTCCATACATGCCAAAGCGATGCAGGGAGTTGATGATGTTTTAATATGAGGTTCTATTCCCAAAGTTCATTGTCCTTGCCCGCACCGTCCCAGTGAAAGGGACGACCCTCTACTGTTCTCGCCGCTCGCACCAGAGTTGCTAGATGGGACCATTCTTTTGGTACAAAGCCCTCAAAACCCGTCGTCAATCTCCATCAAGTCATGGTCGAGGTCGTCATCCATGCCATACTCGTCTCCTCCGTCGGCGCCGTAGCCGTCTCCACCAGCGCCAACCTCCTCGAGCTCCTGAATCCGCTCCAGGTCCATCTTCTCCTTGTGCCTCATCAAGTCCTCATAACTCCAGGTGCTCACGCCCTCCTGGTCTTTTGCTCGGAACGGCTGGGCCATCTGCTTGAGGAAGCGCCGGGCGCTACTGACGGCCATGTCTGTGCTGACGTTTGTGTCGGCATCGAGCAGGCCCTGGTTAATCCACTTGGGCAGTTGTGTCCGCTTCTTTTGGAATCTGCGGTCCGCGAGGACCATGATGCCGTAGTCGTCCTTGCCTCTCAGGACTCGGCCGAGACACTGCGCGGCGTGGCGCATAGCGTCGAAGGACAGGAAGTCATTCTCACGGATGCGATACGTTTCTCGCAGGAATTCGAGACGGGCCTTGAGAATTCGGGACTCGGTGTACTGGAACGGTACACCTATACACAACACGGTCCGTCCGTATTGGTGATCGAAATCGATGCCCTCCGAGACCTTGCCACGGGCGACACAGAGTAGCACGGCGCCGCGGCCGTTGCAGCAGGCTGTCCTGTACGTCTCCAGCGCGAGCGACGTTTCCTGTGCATCTGGGGTCTCGACCAGGATAAGCTTGTACTTCCAGACTTCTTCGAGAATATTCATGCCCTGCCACATGCTGATGATGGACTCCATGTACAGGTACGAGGGGAAGAAGACGACCATGCCATCGGGCGTGATCTTGGCGAATTCGGTGAGAAGTGTGCCGTAATTTCGAACGACACTCGGCTCGTTGCGGACCTGGAAACTGGTTGAGATGGAAGATTGGTCGCTTCCACGAGTCACGATCATTGGCAGGAAAGATCTTCTGGCCAAGGTCATGCTGTATGACTCTTGTACAACGGTTGAGAACCCCAGCATCTTGGGATACATTTCGAGAGGTGAAATTGTTCCTGATGTGATGATGACGGAGCTGAATCTGTCAAAGACGGGCTTGATCGCGATGGCGGCGTCAAGACACGTGAAGTGCAGAACAGGGTTGGGTACCTCTGCCGTTTCTGACTCGAAAGGCTCGAGGATGAGCAGGAAACCCTTCTCGTAAGTTGCGACCAGCGTTGCGAATGTAGCAACTTCCTGCAGTGGTTGATAGTCCTCGATATTGGTAAGCTCGAGGGTCCGCACAAGCGACGTTAATCTTTCGGCGCAGAATCTCAGTGGCTTCTTTTCGATGAACGTGTATTCTCTGAGATGGGCGAGGAAAGACGGGGGTGTCTCTGATATCGTATGTCTGACCTTCATCCTGGTCTAAGAGAGAGTAGTAAGCAATCGCATGCTTTACCCTGTCCTAAGGTGTGTTGTTAACATACCTTGAGATACTCGATGAACCTTTTTAGGAAGGCTACAAAGTGTTCCGCTCTCCTGATATTACCCGGAACCGCCTCCTTGAGCAAATCATCGGGGAGTGCTTTGAACATGTTAGTCCATGTTCAATCAGCGCGTGAGCTAGCAGGTGATGTTGCCTACCTGGATTCGCCATGAATGCATCTTCCTGCCGTGCTTCATCCGCGCCGCGGAGTCCTTCAACCAGTTTCTGGTATTCGTTTTGAAGTTGCTCCTGGTCGGTATCCCTCATTTCTGTTATTTTCCGTTCCAAGTTCTGTGCACCCCTTGTGGCTTTCCGTAGAGAATCTTCTGTGATGTCTGTGCTGAGGGATTCGATGCAGACGTTGTCGATGTTGTGAGCCTCGTCAAAAACCACAATGCAGTCTTTTGAGAGCTCCCTCGATACTCTCTCAGCGATTTTGGGATCGAGTAGGTAGTGGTATGAGTAGATGATGACGTTGCAGAATTGCATCTACTTGAGGTCAGTGCCACAGTACCAAACAACGTGTTGCTTTCTAGTGTTTGGGTAATTTACCATGCGCCTTGCGGTGAAGTACGGACATTGCTTGTGCTGCTCGCCGTACTTCAACAGGCCTTCAAATGTCCAGACTCCATTGGGAATCAGGTTGTGTGGCTCAAGCAGATCCAAGTTCTGCCACAAGTCAGTAAGTTGTTAGGAACGAAGGGGAGAAGAGGCCTATAGACGAAACGTACGTCATGGTAGACACAAACATCAACGTGCTCGCCGCGGTCTTTTTTCTCCTTTACAAAGCCTGCCGTCAAGCTTCGACAGCGTGCGTCGACGACGGAACCACTTTTCTCCTGTTTTACGGAGGGATGCAAGCACAGGTTCTTTCGACTTGTCAGGCCGAGGCCACGGAACTCTTCCTCCTCGCCAAGCTCTTGAGCTCGATACTTCATGAGAGCCTTGAGTTCGGCCAGAGCCTTTTCGATCTCAGACATAGTACCTAAAAACGTTTAGTTACGGATCACATGCGGTGTAATATAGGCGACTTGAACCATACGAGAGCAGTAGATCAGCTTCCGGTGTTCGGGATTGTGCTGCTGGTAGGCGACGATAAGTGAGAGCAGCGAAACCGTCTTTCCTGTCCCTGAAGGCATCTCCAATACGCAATGCCCCCCTGCGTCCAGCGTCTCTGTGTGTTTAGATAGCACGTCAGCAAGGTCGTTCGTTGTTCAAGTTCGCTTGAGCGAGTGCTCACTTTTGAGATCGCACATGTATCTGAAGTCCACATTAGCAATTGGTCAGCGTTTTACTCAGCTCGCACAGAGCCTAACTCACGCATATTGCTCAGGATAGATCGAAGGGTATGGGAAAAGGATTGGTAATTCACTGTGGCCTCTATGTTAGTTGCGATGCGAATTCTTGGTAAATCTGCAGACTGTGACTGACTCAATGAAGAACTTCATCTTGAGACGGCAAGAGTGCCGCAATTAGCGACACAGTGAAGTCGTTCGTTGAAGGCAAGTGCAAGAAGAGGCAGGCGCGATTCAGTAGATTGGTGGAAGGTCGTGGTGGTCAAGGATATGTGTTGATGGATTGAGACTGATGAACGGGGAGTGGAGTGAGTTGAGGAAAATGGACCCGGTGGATGAGCAAAGGAGCGCGGTCACGGGCGCCAGATTCCGAAGCAGATCTCATCAGACTAGTGCAATCTTGTGCTACGGCAGCAGCTCTACGGCTATAATTGTTTCAGAGGGTGTGTGGTCGAGATTGATGTCGAGGTCAAGATTGGGGTTGAGGTTGCAGTTGAGACTGAGGTCGTTGAGTGCAAAACTCAATAGCCATCTTCTGCAATGCCGAAAAGTTGTCTCGATGAGTGACGTGAGGCGGACCCAGGCAACCTAAGGGATCAATCCCGACAGGTTACAGCTTCCCGGTCTTCGATGCCAACCAGTCGCGGCTTCACGTGACATTGTCGCTTATGTCATCCTGCCTTGGTCATCACCTTGTTTGGGGTTGGCTGGTGTTTCCCACCTCCAGGCTCAGTGCGCGCCAGTCCGCAAACCTCCTTTCATTGTCAACCACTTTTCATCCCTCTTTCCGTTCAATTTATATCAGACTTCGGACCGCCTCATGTATCCGCACGTGCCCGCGCGGAGAGGTTGAAGATGATGCTGGCTACTACTCATGGCATTCTGGGCTCTAGGAACCGGCCACTCCTGTTGTGATCCAGCGAGCGGTGGCTCTATTGGGTTCGTCGCAGCCGCCTCGCTTTCGGGGGCTTCAGGTAGGATGCTTGACGGGATGGCTGACCATCGGAAGGCGGAGAATTGATCTTGGCTACCCGCCCGGCACAGCATAAGGCTGAGTGGAATCGAATACACCCTGCGTATCTGCGCGGTACATTCTTACTCTGAAGGATGGGCTGTAATGCCACGATAATGGGGTCCCAGGACATGTCAGACAAGTTTCTGCGGCCGAGTGGCGTGTGCCCAAAGGTCGATGCAATGCTCATCACCCATATGTCCGTTGCGCGTATCATGCAGCTAGAGGCACACGGAACGTACGATTTGGTGTGGATTAAAACTGGGACGGTGGGAGGTTGTTGTAACTGATGCAATGAAGCTGTTCGACCGTTCTGAAGTGCTGTATTTGCTGGTTATGTCTACGATGGTCCGCTATATACTTAGTCTCGTGAGTTCAGGTTCCGCGACATAGCTATGTGCCTGGGTGAGACTTCGTTCTGGCATGTGTAAGGACTTGTTAGCACATGAGGAGGGTCTGCCATTGTTAAGCTACTCTTGAAGCGTAGCCTTCACGGCATGGCTGGGGACCTTATTAACGTGATGAGCATGCAGGCCTCACTCCAATACGCCCACGTACGAAAGGGCCTCAAACAATGAAATATAGAGGATCACAGTCCATGCTCGTTCATCACGACGTCAAGGTATACCAACCGCGATCCCAGCTCTAAACTATTCCTTAGAAGCTCAAGGCCACCGGTGACTTTGCCGCAAAAGCCGTTATAACTTGACGATGCTTTTGTCTTGACGTCGCCAGAGCCGCACTTTCATCTTAGCCTGTCCATAGATTCGTATCTCAACAAACAATAATTTCTATGGTGAGTCCGTACATCATTTGTTATTACACCGTATCCCTACACAAGGAATTGCGACTCTAGCTTACCCTGACTGTAAAGCTTGATGATGCACACCCAATTAGGCTAGATCTGGCCCATTTGTCGGCCACTCACCTAGGCTGGCCAATGACCTAGCAGTGCATGACTGAGCTCGCTAGGGTCTGCGCGGTATATACATCCGCTTGCTGACA